GGCTTGGGAATCATCAGTACGGGGCTAGCCCAAAGACTATTAGAAGGTTGGATGAAGCCCGATTCAAGATACTGCTGGATTTCGGCCTCCATGACGTGCCCTTCGGCGCCCGACACGCGGTAAGGGCGTTGTTTGAAAGGAGGGTGATCCCCAGTATCAATGGAAAATTCCAACAAGTCGGTTCGACCGGGCCTTAGTGAGGTCTCGACGAATAAATCTCGGAAAGTCTCCAGCAAAGCACGGAACAATTCTCTCTGCTCCCCAGTCAACTTCGAACCTTCAAAGTCCGTCTTAAGCGCCTCTTGGAGCGCTTCTTACATGGTTGATGTTGACGACGAAGAGAATTCCTCTGCCCTGCCCGGTGCTCGGATCACCGAGTCGATTCATCGGGAGTCGTGCTGTTCCTGCTCGCGCACTTCATCCAAACTCGCTCCGAGGGAGAACGCGGCCTCGGGTACTATTGATGTGGCCGCCAAACGTGTTCCGTTTTTACGCTAATGTCGGTCGAAGGATTACAAATTTCCACGATGACCTTCCCTTCTGAACTGAGCCCAATGTTCTAGCCACTCGGACAGCCGCGTTCAGGTCCATCAGGCCTTCTACTAGGGCAGTGACTCCATCATCGACCGTCCCTGCTATATTGGCGACCACCAGGGCCTGTCCGCCCGGGCTGACCGGACGGAGGAACTGATTAAAGCGCGGTAGGACTCTTCCACTCGAGGAGATCCAAACGGAAACGCTTCACCAGTCCCCTTGAGCGTCACCAAGTTGTCTTCTAAGTCAATCAAAGCCTTGAATTTTCAGAGGGCGTTGGTACCGAGGAACGCATCCACGTCTAATAGGTCGACGACCACGAACGGGATCGTCTTCTCTAGCGAGTCTAGGCGCAGCCGCTAGTTGATGACGCCTCGAGTCTTCCGGGAGTGTCCAGAGACGGCGTTCAGGCTTTGGGTATAACCCCTGAGTGTAGACCTTCCTATCCTTTTCAGGACTCGGGAGTGAACCAAGCACGCTACAGCCCCGGAGTCTATAAGCAATTCAGCGGGAACACAGTCGATGAATCCCGTAGATAGGACCTCGACCCCTTGAACATAGGCGACGACACGCTTGCCTTCCATAACGGGTTCTGCCGTCACTCGCTCTACTCGGGGAGAATCCTCCGACTCGAGCTTTCCGACTCAGTGTTCGTCCACCGTTCAGGGCGTGCGATCAGATTCGCGTAACCAAGCACTCCGTCTCCCTCCTCGGTAGAGTAGTGAGCCCCCATTGTTTTAGAACGTTCAACGTTGAGGAAAGAAAAGACCAAACAGACTTGTTTCTTGTTGGCAGGTTGCCTGATCTCGTTGTAGCGCTTCCTACATTTCCGGCATGGCGAGCCCCTTTCAGTGATATTCACGCGCATCTCGGCAGCCCCTCGCTCATAGGCTTCTCGTATACCTTTAAGTATCTCTTCTCTCAGGGCAGGCTCCTACTTCATCGTGTTCAGATAGCTCCACACCAACATTTTCCTGTACTACGGATTCGTCGACGTCGACGCTCCCATCCGGAGGCTTGGGCTTCTCAGGTGGAGGGCGGGCTCTGAATGAGAACACCCCTACGGGTTCCTCCAACTCTCCCTTGTCGGCGTCTTCCACGGGGTCTGTTTGTGCGGGGACGCCGTTTTCTCGCTCGACTCCAAGCACGGCCCCCTCATTCTGGGTTGACCTAAAGTCGAGGTTCGCGCGTTTAGCAAATTCAGTCGTTGCTAGGGTTTTCCGGTACCACTCTAGCCAATATTCAGGAGAGGACAGCTCTCCGGGAGCGGCCTCTCGGGTTCGAACTAACACTTCTTCAGGGATGTCTAGTAACTTGCTGAGCTCGCCCAGCGACACAGCCTTTTGCCGTTCGGCATTCTTCTTTACACGTTCTTTGCGTGCAACTTCGTCGAGACCGATGAGGCGGTTTTCGAGCTCTTTGTCGTATTCTTCCTTCTCTTCAGAAACCCCGGTTACTCTTTTAGCTTTGAGGTCGTCGGGTTCTTCAGCCATGAACAGGCGGGCATAGCACGGTTCGTGCTGGTTGGGGGGGGGGGGTTCCTCTACCGCTCTGGCCTTCCTCCTTTGAGGGGAACTTCCTCGCGAGCCCCCTTCCTCTTCATTTACATCTTGTATTTGCCCTCTTGCTTCGTTCAGTTTCTCAGCCTTCTCGACACCATCATGCAGGCTCACCACCGAGGTTTCCATAGCCTTCGCTACTACTGGGGACTTTGACACGCTCTGTAGGCGCACAGTACTCCCCGAGGTCAGTTCTTCGTCAAAGAACGGTTCTTGATTCATTTCTCCAGTCACATACACTTCATTTACCTTCGCTTCGGTCGGGTCGATTCGTTCCACTCGGGACGAGGTTGCCTTCATACACGGCGGTCGACTCTCCTAGAGAGTTCATAGTGGCTTCGTTAGCGTCGCTAATTAGACAAGAGAAAGGAGCGACGCTCCCTTCCCCTTCCTCTCGCCCCCATCATTGTTGGGACGGCGTTTGCGTTTAGTTAGCGTCGCTCCCCGACAATTGTTGCAACTTTTACTGCTGGAACGAAGCTCTGATCGGGCATTCTGCGACTAGGTGGTCCTTCTGGTTGCAGAGGAAACAAGCCCTCCGAGAACGTTGTTGACCGTTACGGTTACTGGTGTTGCTAGTGCGCTATTGACTCAGGCCTTGGGGCCGATTAGGCTGCTTGTAAGGTTCTACGCTCTCCATACGAGCGTGTCCTTCATGACCAAAGTTAGTGCAGGTGGCTCGGCTGTGCCAGCAAGTAATTCTACTACACCCCAGCGTGTGTCATCTTCCACAGACAATGTGGCCAATCCTGCGTGTATATGTCGGCGTCTTGGCGGATTCCCCGTCCGGGGGTGAATGGAGGTGCTACATGACTCATCTGGTTCGGCTCGTGACTTTGTTGAGGTGTCTGATACGCGGTGGCGACTGGGTGGCCCATTAGAGTCCCTGGTTGTTGTTGTTGCATCAACAGGTTCTGAGTCTGCTGCACCATTGTCATCACTTGTCTCACCATTGTTCTTCTGGATCCACCGTCCTTCTTCAAGTCATTCTCGTATTCGGACTCGTCTTAGACCGGCAGGTGCATGTTCTTGTAAAGTAGAACGGCTTCGGCTTCGGGAATAGAATTCAACATTGTTGTAGCCAGAGCTGCCTTACATTTTGAGTTACACCGTCCCGACAGAAAGTATTGGTACCTCATTTGAGAGTCGAAGCACTGAGCGGCGTCGCAGACACTGGAGATTTGGTCTCCTCAAACTTCTGCTGACATACGCTTGGTGGGCTTAAGGCGCTCGATCATTTGCAAGGGGGTCTGGCACACGAACTGGTTGTGCAACCGCGTGCGGAGGGTCTCGAAGTCGTTGATCTGCGAGTGAGTCCACCATTCCTCACCTGACTTCATTTTCAAGCCTCCCGGAACGCACTTAGCTTCAAGCGCTCGCTCAATCCTTCCGTGGCCCGTTCGAATGCTTCCCAGAAAGTCCTTGTCTTCTCCACCAAAGACCTACCCGAATAGAACGGTTGTATGCGGACTGCATTCTTGATGTGGGATGGCATTTCGTACGACGCATACCCCACCATCTGCGTGTGCGTTGGGCTACTACGCTGGCTTCCTCCACCGGGGGAACCGTCACCTCCTTGAAATGGCACCCCCGACGAGAGAGGGGAGCCCCCAGGAGGATTCGGACCCCCTGGTCCTCCCGGACCGTTAGGCCTTCCTGGTCCATTAGGCCCTCTAGGTCCGTAGGGTCCTCCAAGAGTAGTAGATGGGGTCCCCGGCCACCCACTCTGAGAGTAGAGAGTTAGAGTAGTCGGGGTAGTCGGTTGGTACGTGTGCGACGGGTATCCTCCGGATCGGGTTGCACCTTGCCACCCGGCCGGCGTTCCGATGAAGGGAGCGTTCCACGCGGGTCCAAACGAAGATGCGGGGGTAGTCTGGGGCATCCAGGGCGTTCGGGCCCAGTCGGTGTTAACGAAGAATGGTTTGAATCCAGGGTTGGCCGGGTTCATCTGGCTTTCGATTATACAACCCCCGTAGGACGGGATGGCCGTCCTTACTCTTGCAGTCGCTGAGTTTATCAGGGGAGTCATCCTTTCGGGGGTACTTCCGTAGTTCCAAATAGGCGCCGACGATAGTGCAACCGTCGGACTCCCGGCTGCATTTTCCGTTTGGGCTTGGGGGGGGGGACAAACGCGGAGCCGTCATTCGCCGGCAAGCCCAGCTGACCTTGGAAGTAGTTAATAGCGCGTTGGAGACCTGGGCTTGGTACCTGTACGGGGCTCCGTAGGTCCTTCGACGAGGCTACAGGGCCTTCGCCAGATCCTGCCGTTCCCGACGTAGCCGACGTCCCCGGCAGTACCGTTCCCGTTGCAGTGGTCAGTACTTTAGTGCTCTCCGAGTCGGCGCCTTCCGAAGCGGGCGCCGCGCTTCCGCGGGGCACGAACTGACTCTGTCCCTAGCCTGAAGCACGAGATGATCGACCGCTTCCCCGGCCGCGAGTAGTACCGTCAGCCGCTCTCTGGACCATTGCCTGTAGAGCCCCCAGTCTGCATAGGGTGGAGATGGCAAGCCTCGCCGGCGCTACCAATATAGCGCTCGTCTGCGCGGGGTTTGAGGTCGAGCCACTCGACCTTGACGGTGTCGACATTAGCACGTAGTCGACTCTTCAACGTGTACCACTAGTTTCCATTTAGCGTTGAGTCCTTCTCCAACGGGTTGCCTACCCTGCTTCTATCCAATTTGTCGTACACCTTCTCCAGACGAGGTCGGGCAGGCAACGGATTGATATGAGGAGGACTCGTGTAGATAGGCGCGGCACGGTAGCAGCGGTAAGAACAGTAGTAATAAAACTATACACAACTTGTTTTTTGCTGTTCTTCTT